TATCCAAATTTAGATTTATGAACACCATAATTTAATTGCAGTGCTAATTAATTTTAAATTATCAACAATTCTAGTTTTGACTATCATAGTTAATTTTATTTTGAGAATACAAAACCAAATAAGCGGTTACAGGTGATTTTTTAAAGCTATAGCTTACAACTTTTAGAAAATTATTTTTGAACCCATTAGCCATATTTTCTTATATCTGTGGACTGTGACGTATGCCCGTTAATCGGGACCATACGTCTTTACTGTAGGTACCTGCTATATGGCTATAAAACATTTATAATTATAACATATGCAGTGCCCGCGCTAAGTATTGCGGGGGCCCTGGACAAGGTATAAGCCATTAGGCACCCCAAGGAAGGGAAAATTCTAGCTTTTCTTAAATCAGGATTAAAAAAAAGTATTGTTTTTCTTGGAATTTTAAACATTAAAAATAATAATATTAGGGTATTCTTATCTTTTTTTTTTATTATGACGTGTTAACACAAAATTATTTACAAATAATAAAATAATAACTAATTAGGTACATACAACAACAATATTAAACAATTGAAGACTGAAGTAAGAACATATGAATTTTAGTACCTAATCAAATAAATATTTTAAGAATATAGCTCTTGCCCCTTCTATAATACTGTTATACGGACATACAGCAATACGCGAAAAGCCTTTTCAAATAAAGAACAGAGAAAACAATAACTATAGAGATAATAAATATTTATTGTAGGGGTCCTATCCGACGGGTATCGTCAAAATATTACTCTTTCATCGTATCGATAACGATTTACTTTGTAGTTAAAATTAGGCTAGATTTAGATATCGTTTTCCAAATAACAGGTGATATTAATATAATACATATTGTGTGATGTGTAGTATAGAATAATACATTTATAGATTCATAATTTGTTAATCTAATCATGTAAAATGTCACTGTGTCTTACAGTATTAAGATTATGATTAAAAATCAAGGGGCCCTGGACATTATATATGTCCTATTTGTCCTCTCCTAGCACTGGCACAGAACATATTATGTATAACCTACTAAAATTATTGATTTAAAATATGATTATAATTCAATACCAAGTGACTGGTTTAATGATTAGTAGTATTATAGACTATAGTATTAAAACAATCAGTATTCACTGTTTATTTTATCAATATAATTTATATAATACTAGTTTAATAATTAAGTTATTACTTAATGCCTATGTAGTTTATGACCATTTAAATAATTATGTACATAATTAATTGTGCTGCAGAATATAACGATTGAGTTATTAAATGTTGTGGTCTATATTAACTAATTAATATACAAATACCTAATTGTGTATAGATATAATTTTTAAAAAAACCTGTGACTAATTTTATTTCGAGTATTCAGGATCTTAAATACTTAAAATACATAAGTATAATACATATGTATAAGTATCGAGTATGGAGTATCTAAATACTGAAGATGTAAGTATCGAGTGTTTAGTATCTTGATACTCCAAATCCAAGTATCCTAGTATCTACTAGTATTGCAATACTGATTTTTGAGTATCTTGCCCATCCCTGCAGGTAATAGGTATACTGGCTGTACAAATTAGCAATATTTTTAATAGGCTATATTGCTATAAGATAACATACTCGATGAAATAAAAAGGATATTATTTTATATTTCCTTTTGTTTTGAAAATTGTCAAGTGTAATATTAATCCATAACCATTTTGTACTAAGCAGTAATTATTAACGAATAATTTATATTGCACACCGAATTAATATTTATAGAGTTTGTATCTCTTTACATCTAAGTACTCGAAAATATTGTTTTTAAATACACTTGAAGATCATTTTTCGAATCATTGAATTTTTTTATACCAGTAAAGGATAATCCTGAGACAATGCAAACTAAAAATAAAAAATAAAAACTACTTGATAACACTATTCCTATTTTCAATAGTTGTTAGTTCTAATATGAGGTCACGGTTAGATATTTATTAGGCATTATATATACTGTGTAGAACACAACTAGAAGCGTTCATTTTAATTTAAATCGTACACCTCAATATAGTTGATAAATAATAATAATTTATGACAAATTTACATTTACAATTAGGTACCCAATAATTATTACTTTTTTTCTATTTTTGCTATGTCCCTTGTTGTTTGATAATTTAATGTAATACAACTTGTCAATAAGACTATTGCTGACACATTCTTGGTGCTATGAAAAAGGTTGGATAATTTGTTTTACATATTAATCTTATGGTAAGATGAATTTAGAAAAGTAAAGGATGGTTCGGACTTCGGACACCAGATATGCTTTAAAAAAGAAATTTTTATTGAGCAAAAATAAAGAAGCTTTTTCAATGTGTTATCAATAAAACTACTAAAAAAAACATTATGTATTGACGGTATGCCTAATATGTTTTTTATTCTAAAAAAGCGTATTTTGTATTTTAAAATAATGCCATGTGAAACGCCATGAAAAACGCCATATGAATATATGTTTGTAGTTAGAACTTCAGAAGAAATCGTTTTAAAAATATCATTCTCCACATTAATTTATTATTAATCTTATTTTCTATGTTTATGATAGTTAGGTAATTTAACCTATATTGTAACATGGTTATCATTACGCACCTGGATTGTACGGTTTACCAGTAAAATACCGCACATCTAGTAAGGGTTAAAATCACACAAAATTTTTATTTTATGGCTAATTTGTTATTAACATTAAAATCTTTTATAAAGTTTACTAATAAGTTCAGAAAAATAATTACATTTTGTTTAAAATTTTTGATATTCTAACGACCCAAAATGAAAAAAATTACTCAAATCTTATAATATGTAATTAGTGTGATAAGTATTAGTTAAAAGTGATTTGTTTTAAATTTGTTTTATTAAATAAATATAAATAATAAATGGTACCTACATTACGCCCAACATAAAATGAATTATAATATGTGCAGTTGTTGGATACAACAGCTTAAAAACGATTTGCAATTTTAACATATTATCTACCTACTAAAAATGTGCGGATTTGGTTTTTACGATTTAAAGTGTAACATACTTATCAAATATATATTTCAATCGAAAAACGTAACTATTAAATTAATATTATATATTTTTAAATGCGATATGGTGATATTGTGTACAATATAAATTTCTTATCCCGTGTAACTTTAAAGAAAACACCAGTATTTGTATTAATCTACTTCTATGTGTTATTTTAATTCACTGTGGACAATTACAAAACAAATAATACAACACTTCAATAATTCAAGTTTAAAAAAGGCATTAATTTAGAATTTTTAAGTTAATAATTCTTTAAACAAATATATTAATCTTGTTTTCGACGAATAGTATTATAATAAATTAGTCTTTTAGCTTATGATTATGTATACAAAATAATTCAAGATTCTGACGTATTTCGTGAACACTATACATTTAAATCCTTATACAAAATTAATGTGGCTTAACGCAAATTTGAACAAAACATTCGGAATACATACACTTAATAAAAAAGAGGGCCCTAACGTTAATCTTCCTCTGACTCCAATAATAACCAGAACCGTCGAAAACGTGATATATGTCCTCCCCAGCTCATTCTAAGATATTTTGTATACAAATGTAATAGTAATGTATTTTAGAAATTGTAAAATGTAATGTGTTTCTTCAGTAATCTCAATAACCCTAATAGTTGAGCCGTATTTTTAAATAAAAAAAAACGGAGAAAAATGTCTACAACCGAAAAAAACTATAATGATTAGGGCTGTGAATTTGTAGGAAAGTGCATTGTTTTTGGTGATTGTGAAACGTAGCCTTGTAAGTACATATTAATCTGAGTTATGTAACAACGAATCCATTTATGCAACTTTTATTTTGCATTTTTCGACATTTTTAGTTGTTTAGGTCATTTTTGTGCATTTTTAGATCATATTTTCCTTTTTTTGGATCAATTGACAGAAAAAATGTTTTAAAAAAAATTGTTTTAGTACACGGGCTGTATATATTTCGATAAAATAAGGCAATTACTGCCTATTTGCTAGATAACTACATAAGTTATTTATTTCTAAAATATTTGAAAAATGTTTCAGGTGAATAGCATTAAGTATAGAAAATTCAAATTCAACCAAAATTTTATTTTTTTTTTTTTTTATTAAATAAACACTTTTTTATGCATGGAATGTACTATTGTATAATATCCTGTAGCTTTAATATTAATATAAATATAAAAATTAAATTAAAAACCATTTTAAATGAATTTATACTATATATTTTGCCAGTTTATTGCATTTTTTTGACATTTTTAAGGTTCTTAAGTGCATTAAATTCACAGTGCTAATAATTATCGTTATACACTATAAAAATTAAAAAAATTCTTTAAATAGTTAACCTCTTTATTGTACAGTAAATATCGAGTGTATATCATCATTGAGTAGGTCTAAATGAAATAATGCTAATGTAGTTCAACCCCATGTTCAACTCTTCATGTTAATGATAAAACCCGAAAAAGGGGACTGTCACCATTTCTACCAATTAATATGAAGAAAATAGATATTGGTCTTTAGTCAAACGTTGGTATCTATGTGTATTAATGTGTCCAATAGTCAATAACGATCATTATTGTGTACAAATTCCAAGATGGCCTTAAATTCTGTGGAAGGGGGGGGCGTATACATTTTGGGGGTCTCAGCCAACTAACTATGCCTATGATTATACTGATATTCGTGTTGTTGATTGACCTATTACTTATCAAAACTATTAGTTATTGTACAATAAAAACTTAGCTCTACCCAACAAAAGATTATAAAATATTAATGTCGGTTTAAACTTTTTTAAGTTATCTATATAAAAACATGATTTCCAAGAGCTCGTAGGACCGGTCCTAACAGCAAATAAATTAATTGTTGTTGTACAGAATAATAATGAAGCGGTTCTAAGAACAAAACAATACTTACAAACATATACTTAGATTTAACTAAATTAACACATAAGAAAAACAATCATTAGGTTCATCATATTTTAATTTTTTTATTTCAATATTAGACGATAACAATATGCATAGATTTGTTGTTTTTGAAATTGTTGTGTTATGGGTAAGCATATGTAAGAGATTCCCAAAACAACATTTACATAATATTGTACCTATACAGTCTATTCATATTATTATTATGTAACAATAAAAAAGAATAGTTTAGATGCTAATCAGTGACCATTATTAACCACAGTTATACATTTCGACATTTTTTTACTAGGTTATTTCATAAAACAAAAAAACATAATTAGGTAATATTAAACCACCAGAATATAGCAAGACTCGTGCGGCGCAGTATAATAAAATTATTACAAAAATAAAAACAACTTCAAGCTTAGGTACATTGGTCGATGATAAAAAAAAGTATTATTATTATTGTTATTTAACTGGTATGTGTTAAGGAATCCGAGTTTTCAGCATGGAAGACAGAGTGGCGTATTCCTTAGGCTGCAGACTCGGCGATTTTTTTAACGACAAGTGCGAGTAAGTCATATTATTAGATGGCATCACGGTGTTCGCGCTCCTCGACCGCTTCGATTTCGACAAATTGAACGGTGAGTTCTCTCGGGACAATATATGCTGTTTGGCATATAGTGCTATCCCGATTTCCTTGTGTCCAGCTTCCATGGCAATACTAAGTGCCGTACTTCCGTCCTGCAAAAAATAAATAAATAAGTAAATAAAAAAAGTATACCTATGTATAAGAGACTTGATGTTATAACTCATTTCTGTTCGCCGCAGAATTTTCGTTTTACAAAATAACAAATATTTGTGAAAGAAGAAGGTAATTAAAATATATTTCATGTTCAATATTTACGTTATCTGCGATGGACACATCACATTCCGGACAAGCCAACAGTATATTGACGATGTCCTGAAGACCGTGTTCGGCCGCGCACATTAAGGCAGTACTCCCGTCTTCGTCCTGCATGTTGAGATTGGCTCCGCACTCCAGAAGTAATTTCACCACTTCTGATTTACCGTGCGAAACTGCCAACATTAGTGTAGTCTGACCATGCTGCAAGTGAAAAAAATAAAATCAAGTTAAATTTCGTTCGTTTCGTAGTTAATTTTAGAGTGAATTATCTATTTTCAAACCTATAAGTCATGAATAGTTATGAGACTTTTTCGTTTGTATTGTTTTACACACTATTATAAATAGTTTCTAAATTAAAAATCGAACAAATACATCCTAAAGAACACGAACAATGAAATAAATCTTTGAATTTGAAAATAAGTCACTATCAATATTAATAAAACGAAATTGAACTAAACTGCTTAATGGGACTGTAACATTTTAAGGAGTAATATTTAGGCAATTCATCTGACAAGTACATTAGGTAATTATTGAATACAGAGTTACTCATAGGTCAAAAGTTTTTTTAAGTTTACCTAGTTTACGTTTTAGGTTCAAAATTGTATAATAAAACTTAAAATAACGTTTTTCTTCTAACAATTTTAGTTATTTCTTGCATGGTTCATAAAATATTATTCGTAATGACAAGAAACTTTTGGTCATAATGTAAATTATTATTTATTTATTTCTGTACGCAATACAAAATATTAAAACTAATTTTAAGATATTTTTAAAATACATTATATTCACGCCATTTGACAATGACTTTAAGTTTTAAGTTATATAATATAAGTTGTACTCGACGTTTTTAGCAAAAAGATAGTAGGTAGTTCAATACATCAAATCAAAAACATACTCATAATTATCTTAATAATATATTTAACGACTATGTACTAACTATTCTTAGAAATAAATTGATCCATCACATGTTTCTTTCGATCTGAATCGTTTTTGAAATGTTTTGCAATGACTATTAACGTATGACGAGGTTAGTCGCATACGAATAATCAATAAGTTTAAAATTTTATAATTTTTCAACAACAAAATAATTTAAAAATTTGAACTTAAAATGCTTATAAAAAAAGGTGGTAATGCATCTATAATATTTATCAACTGCTATTATAACAAGTTATAATTAATCGTATATGTAATAAATTGTATGTGCAATAAGTGATCATTAGTGATTTTGGCCTCCACACAAGTGTGAAACTCAGTGATGCGTATATACCTTCTTATATTAATAAAAAAATTTTTTGAATGCTCTCCCATAAGTCGATAACGCATATTATTAATTTTTTTTCCAATTTATTGTATTAATCTTTTGCTTATAGTATTTTTTGTTGTAACTAATCAATTCATCTGATAACATTTCTGAAAACATTACTTCAAAGCGGTTTTATTAAATTCTTAAATTAATTTTTTCACTTCAATATTATCAAAATTTAAATTTTATTTTATTTGGAAAAATGAAGATTATGAGTTTAATTTCAAAAAAGTGGGAAAATAATTTTTAAATAGATATTCATTATGACCGATTCAAAAAGTTTTACCTGATTACTAAAATGGTCAGTACAATAGGTATAACTGTATCAGATAGGTCTATTTGAGTAGAAAACACTGATGTATAAAATCCCCTTAACAGCCATTACTCAAAGGAGTTACCTTTAATAGTATAAGATTTCAACTGACGAAGGTTTTACTTTGTGCTTGATTATCTCGTATGCGCGTTTTGAAATACTTACTTTTTTAGCCTGCAAGTTGACATCGCCACATTTGAACAGTCTCGTGATGATTTTCATCTCGTCGTCGTTTTTTATGTCAGCCAACGAGACGAGCATGACACTTGAATAACCCGCGTCATTAGTCAAGTTGACATTGCAAACGCCCGTATCCAGTATGGTAGACACGACGTCGAAATTTCCGTGGGAAATCGAATAATGCAGTACGGTGTTGCCCTGATAAAACGAAAATAGTCCAATAAACTTCATGGATAAGGTTTAGACACAAGCATACAGCATAAATATTGTGTATAGTGTAGTATATCATATTATTACGTGTCTATATGAATCCAGAGCGCTGAAAAACCCGAAACGCTTAGTATTTGGGATAATATTATTGAAGTATGTATAAAAAAAATAATAACAATCAAAATATTATGCTAAAATATGCAAACTACAATTTTTTTTTAACATACATTTTTCCAAACGCAAATAAAAACTAATTGGTGAAGCAGTTCACGTCACCGCGTCGTGACTCTCGATCGACAGCGATAACAGTTGTACACCGATGTTTATGTTTTTATTGTTCGTATAAAACGTAGAAATAATATCTATATTTATTAGAAGCATGTTAACATTTCACAAACTTTATTGAACTGGAAATAATTATCTCTACATCGGTTTCATTTGCATATTGCTGTCGGTCATTACGGTTTATTTCTAAGAACCGTAAGAATAAGAGAAAAATTCAAAAACCAATTTTATCCGATGTGAAATTTTATAATACGTTATTTTTGTGTTTTTGGGGTCCTCAAGGTAAATCTATAGAAGTATCTGAATTCTTAAATGTTATTTATACAAATTATAATCTAAACTAGCTCTATGAAATAATTTACATTGTTAAATGCTCGCATGCATTACTTTACAGTATTGGTACAAAATGCTCAAAAATCAATTATAGGTACTAAAGTATTTTGAGAAAATACGAGTAGCACTATATGTCTATATATACGACGTAATAATGTAATACAACTATTCAAACACCTATATTGTGTAAAAATCTATACAGCAGTACAGCACATGTATATATATATTATAATTAGGTAGGACTATAAATTTGAAGTCCTAAAGACTAAAAATACTTAAAATATATTGATATATCGCGCACAGTTTTTAATAGGCTCTGGCCTTCAATATAATATTATAGACTTCATTAGAAAAGAAATTGAATTAAAAATGTAAAAAAATAACAATTTTAGTTTATTCACTCAAGTTGTAAATAAACACAGTAATGAAATGTTTTAATAACCTAATGTGGTGATTTGAGTTTGATCTTAACATATTCTATTAAAAAAGTAAAAATAAATTTCTTAAGGCATATGATATAAATTATAAATCTATATCTGCAGAAAAAAAATTAGCAATTGTATTTTGAATAAAAAATAATTTTATCTATTTAAAAATGTCTAATAGAAAATAGTGTTATAAGAGAAAATAGTATCATAACAATAAGTCAATATGTTATAATATACCTAAAATCTAATTGGTAAGAAATACATCTTAAGGCACATAAAAACAGCAGCCAAAATGATATCTAATAAAAAATTATTATATTATGTACCTACTTATGTCTCAGATATGCAAAATACATTTTTTTTATTCAGAACAGTCACGCGAGAATCATGATTTAATTGGATTAGATTCTTAAATAGATATCATGTGATACTGGGATTTCTGAACAAAATTGATCGATAGATATAAAAAAAAAATCATTAAAGTCACATCACCATTTATAATCTATATACTCGTATCACTGTCTTATTCTCGATCGCCGCCCGGCAGTTACATATATATCATCTATTAAATCTCGATCAATTGGTACGATTTCTCAGTCTGTAAGTCTAGATAATAATATCACAATAATATAATATGTTTACCGCAGCATCTGTCATGTTGATTATGAATTCCAGCAAAACCGGTGAATATGAAGTGAACCAGTTGACATAGTTCTTTACGAGGTGGCCGCCGCAATTGCTCGAGCTCGTCACCTGTAAGAAATTTTTTTTCTTCAAATTATGAAAAATTTTACAATCAGATGGCTCATTCAAACCTTGAACCATTCTTCTCGGACAATGTCGATGGCTTGTTTCAATTGGGTCCTGGGCAATAACGTGGCTGACGTTTTCTTCAGAGAATCGTTGAGTACTTTCAGCGCGGCTTTCATTTCTTTGCTAGGATTATCTCTGTATAATAATATATTCAATACAATTTAAATTTAAATCACATGGTTGGGAAATCATAATATATCTGTATAAGTATATATGTACAAATTTGAAGGGTACTTGTATATTATATAAGTCATTTTTATATGATGGCATTTTCTTAGGTTTTAGAAAGCATCAGATTCCCCTACTTACAAATAATAAAGGTATTTTTAGCATGAACAAAACAATTATGAATATAAAAAAATGCTCAGTCATTTAAACCATAATTTAATCTATAGTCTTAATAAAATATATTGAAGAATAAACAATACATTTTATTAATTTACTGGTTAAATTAACAAATATAAGTATGGGGCAACAATATATGTAATAAAAGTATTTTGTGAACTTAATAAAACATTTTGTAGGGTAATATTTAAGTTAACAAAACGATGGTTGATTCTAATAAATCTTTGACCAATTAATTCATTATTTTACCTTAATATAGGGTGACCATAAAAATAAAATAAAAATACGGGACACTTTAGTTACCTAACTAAAAAAAAAAAAAGGAAATTCTAATTTTAACTAAATATATTAATATAAAAAAACAAATTAAATGTATGTTGTATAATAGTTTTTAAATACAAATAAAATATTAATAAGTATAATATGTACACAAAAGTCCAAAAAAAAATTATTTTGATGATGATGGCACGTAAATTTCTTAATTTAGAAATAATTTTTAAAAACAAATTAGGTAGTTTGGTATACTGAATTTTAAATAAGCTTAATAAACTTCACGCTACTACGTCACTACGACTACGACTACACTGAATGTCATCGTGAAGACGTGAACTCGACATTCACGTATAAATATTAATAACAAATTATATTTATAATTTTACATAGATATTATAAAATAAAAATAGACATTATATATGACAACAAACTGGTTGTGGCGGATGGAATTGTACTTATTTAGTAGACGACGTCACACATCAATATAATAATATTAATAACATTTTGTAGGTTTAACGTTGTCGATAATAATGTGACATTATTAGTTCTCTATTTTCAAACCCAAAGCAATTATAATAATTTATTGTCAAGACAAGAATTTAAAAATAATGCTGATAAGTATAGATTAGATGTTCTATTGAATATTGTGATACAAAAATATCGTAGAATAAAAAAAAAAATAAAAAAATAATAAATTAACAATAGAGAGAAAAACGGGATTAATACGGGACCTACTTGAGAATACGGGACAAAATGCGTCCCGTATAACTTTTGTCGGGACAACGGGACACAAAGTGGAAAAACGGGACAATCCCGTATAATACGGGACGTATGGTCACCCTACCTTAATACAAATATCGTAGAATCAATAAAATTTTTACTAGTTTATTATTTAAATTAACAAACGTTGTACTGCTAAATCATTTAAAATTTTATTAAAGCTATATTAATGAAACTTATTGTTGAATTGACCCACAGTTTTATTGAAAACACTAGTATATTTCGTTGTGTGACACATTTTTGATATTTATTATTGTTGCCAGTACTCGTGATTTAAGTACATTCGGTACGCGAAAAATAGGACTAAAATTAAACGATACAAAAACTTTCATAGACTAAATTATATTTGTGTAAATAATTTTAAACTGTTAGTAAAATGATCGGAAACCCCTGATTTTTCAATTAAAACCCGTCCGGGTCTTCCGTGTTAAATTTGCCTTCCAACATAAATAACTAATTTTCATTTGTATCATACTCTGATGGTTGGACTTGGGACGAACAAAATATTAATATGTTAGTGAAATAATAATAAATGTGAGCGTCTAAAAAAATTGAATTAGTTCCATTTGATTCAGTTTATGATACGGCACTTAAACCATTTTCTCTGCAGAAGGCAAACATATGCAATTAAAATTAAATATTGACATTCTTTTCTTACCAAATCATTCATACGAATAATACTCATTATTTTGTTGAGTCGCTTTTATAATAAAAAATGTGATTTACCACACCGTGATATAAATCAATATATCACATATTATACATGATACATAATATTTATTACACCTATTGTATTACTTGAGTATTAATATCTTGCAATATTATGGTCTATAAAAAAATGACTAATTACTTGTACAATTCGTCCCGGATGGGTTCGAAATTCATATCTGACTCTGGAAGTCCATTTTGATGTTCTGGTGTCGACGACATTGATTCTTTAGCTCTGTTAAAAAACGTAAAATATGTTAATATTAAAATTATTTTCAAGCGGTTATACAGCGATATATTATCAGCATTCAAAATAAAATAACAACAACAGATATCATGTTTCAGGTGGAATAAGTTAAAAATTAGAAACAATCTTTTGTAGTGTGCGGATTTTTTCTTATCAACATATTTACACATGTACCTACGTGTTTAGGCATTACAATATATTATGTAGGTATAGCTTTCATATTTGTTTTCTGGTGTTCATATTACATTTTCAGTTAAGGTTTTGATTTATACACACATGTTATAAATTTGGTTTATCCTCGTAAATAATAAGCTTGAACGACGTGCCGGGAAAATAAAACATTTCGTATTACTCCTTGAACTGAAAAAGGTACCTACCTACTATTTTATATTATTATCAATGGTTGTAAAATGTGAAACTATACCTACGTATTCGCAAATAAGTACATTTTTACGAATATGACAAATCATTCTGACATTAAAAACTCAAATTTAAACGTTTAAAAATGTAAAGTATACACTTGTAATGTTTTAGATCAACAAAAAAGTGTAAAATACTCGTAATAAGTTTAATTTATACATTTTAGAAACTACACACGTCACACAAGTACATAACAAACAAGGAAAAATTATTCCACAGGTGACACATGAATGATTTGTGTGAGCTTATTGGTGAACTGACCAGACAAAAGAAAAGAAAATTTAAAAAAATCAATCAATCCAAATAAAATTATATGAAATAAACTTATGCCTAGAAATTGTTCAAAAATGAAGATAGATACACTACATTTCATCATCCAACCCCTTAGATTATGCACAATCTAATTCAACATTTGATAGTGGTCAAACTTCTTGAGTATTATTCTAAATTTTTAAAAATAGAGTATTTTTTTAAATTAGTAAATTAATATTGTATTATAATATGGTGTGTATTTGTATAATATTCAACGAGTAATTATATAATGAGACCTATTCAGTATATAACATACTATAATATTGCCTGCATACACGACAAAAGATATTATTACAAAAAACTATAATGTAGAATTTTTCCGTGTTAATGCCATCTTTGTAAATACAGAACAACATCATTTATATTGTATTTTGTAATAATCGGTTCAATAAACAACACTCTTTTTCCTCTCTTGGGTTACCTACTACAGATACATAGTATAATAATTGTTCTGTGACGCACACGTATCATGCATTCATATTTCATACCATATGTAGAAATGGATAAATACACTTCATAAACTTTCGAAATATTAGGAAACTACTATGCAAACAGCATAATGTGCCATGTTCTTTAGTAATTATTTTTATTGATATTAATTACTATTTTATTACACGGGAAATATGATCGGTAAAATATGAGAGAAAACATTGGTTCTCGTCTGAATTTTGTTTTACAACATAATCATCTTTGGTGGCCTAACATCTCTGTGAAAACGTCCTCTAGTAAACTTCGAGTTATATTGTCGCATATAATAAATACCGTATGAAACATAAAAAATGACCCCGATTCTGCAGTTCTATGGATATTTTTACGGATGTATTAAACGGGTACAGCCAATTTAAATTTATTTTACGACACCGACAGCGAGTAGGTACTTAAAAAAGGTAAGGCCCATAGCGGTCGTTGTAGTATAAAGAATATGGCCACATTAGCATTGTGAATCGGGCTATGGCCCAATATATTTTCCATCCTACGAATTTAGTAGACTAACAAAAGATTTAAATAGTTCATAATTTATATAATAATTTTACCATGTATGTAAATGGCAATGCACGATTTGACAAATCATATATTATTAGGTATATTGTTTGCTAACATACGTTATAATGTTTGTAAACATTTATCTGTTGTATGAAACCCTAACAATAGGTATTTCGAACATAACTCATAAATTATAAGTATTAAACAGCGTTAGTGCAACGAGATTAGTCGTACTAATTAAATTAATAAAATCGATTTAATAAAACGTTTATGGATCCAAATGGAAGTTACGAAAATTATGTGTTTGAGCGATGCTTTAAATACCACAAATCACAATAAACTTGTCTTAATTGAGATTTACATTGAAAAAATGTTAGCTGATAAGTACCTATGTCCTATAATATTACTTTGTTTTGTTATATGACCAAAATATTGTTTAACTAGAAATTGTGCTAGAAAATAAAAGTTCCTAAATAATACCTAAGTATTTTTAAATCGTTTTAAAATAATAATAATGCTTGTACTGACTGTATTATTTAATTTCAAAGCGAGAGTATTTTAAATCTTAATATTTTCCATATGACCATATCCATACATAACATTTGAAATCCGTGAAAATTTATATCATACCTTAAATACTAACGAATATGTTTTGTTAAAAATTAAAACCAGTTAACATAATATTTAAACCGCAATACAATAATAATATGAAGATTACAATTTAAAATCTAGGTTTAAATCTTTATGAAAACCAAACTATTAAAGATTTCACCGAACATAATATAAAAAACTATTTATAGATATACTTAGGTCTGATACGATGATAATTAGATAAAAATGAAATTATTTTAAGAGTCCTTAAACAAATTTATTGTGAATAAATAGTTATGACTAGTTCGCTCGATTTATTTTAAATAGGTATCACATATCATTTATTATGTAGGTACCTAATAGTGTACCTAATGACTAGTTAGATTAACTAAAATATAGCATATTATACTCTGTTATAGTGTAATCAAACATATAATATCAACTGGATAACAACCATACAAGACTTAAAAACATTTTAATAATAAAAGTTTAGAACATTTAGGTGCATTGAGTTGTTTATTTTCATAAAGATAGGTACACCGTAATAAGAGATATGTAATTTTGACACATATAATGCACTCGTACTCCGGCCAGTGGTAGATGTAGAAATTTCTCACGGGGGGGGGGGATATAACGCATTATGAACTATGAACATAATATATAATATATATGTTTGTACAATACGAACTCGAGATGTTAGTATGTTTCATTAGTTGGTAATTATATCACTAGGTATTCACTGTTATGAAACATAATAATATTAGCAGTAGGAACATTTATTATTTTTATACGTGTATGAGGAAATATACAAACTTCGACAAACCCTATTTATCGCCAGAATAATGTCACCATATAAAATTATTTGTATGTACTTCGGCTAATTTAAATATTTACAATTAAGATGCGCAGAATAAAAATGTGCTTTTCTGGTTCTTTTCTTTCGTATGTCCTACTTCTTTCTGTGACGTTTATATTTTTGAGCTCGTTTTAAATGTCAGCGATTGGTAAGCATAATATACATTGAGACATTCAAAGAAAAAAAAATTAGCAAGTGGGATTTACTACTATAATATTTGAAAAATAACTTGTACTAAACACGAAACAGTGATTAAAGAAATAAAACATTCAATTAGGTAGATCAGGTATTTCTTCCACACTCAAACGAAGTATACTTGAATCATTAAATGTAAAATAAACATGAATAAATTAATATTGCGGACTGTATAATAAAATTCATAAAAAAATCCGTATGAAATAAAAAAATAATAACTAACAGTTTAAAAAGTAATTTTTGCAATGGGATTTAATTTATTTTCATATCCAGACACACAAACGAATAAAAAAAAACGGAGAATTCGCTCTACTGTATAATAATATAAATATTATACATAGGTAAGTAAGTTTCGAGTGTAGGTACCTCGTATTGAGTAGGTCACTGAAATGGATGAGTTAAACTTGAATTTAATGATAATTCGTTGTATATGAAATATTTTTGCAGTAGGCAACAACACGTATGATGGTAAATGGAGCCTATTGAACTTCTATTATATTATTTGTCAAAAGGAAATTTGATAATTTTAATCGCTTCGATACTGTCGGAAACGTCTTACCGAGTGGTAATTTTTTATTTTTATTATTTCCAATATTTACTTAATATTTTTACGATCCGGAACCTTTAAATCTTAATTCTAACTAACCGGAACGGACGCAAAAGCTAATATTACGAACCGGAACGCTGTTCTGGTGCGTTCCGGTCCATATCGAACACTGAAGTAAAATTGAAACAAATAATAGTAATAAGCTATAAATACGACGTTTCATATTACGATATTTATCACTCGATCATTATACTATACAAATGTATAGTATGTAGGTATAGGAAGTTAATAATATAATAATATCATCAAAATGTATTGTACAAATATAATACCAGCTAATTATTATTCACGTGATTTGTTAGTTGTGTACAGTCTAAACAAGGTGTTCAAAATATATATCAATTAATGAACTTTCAATGTTGTTCGGAATCTGTAATAAAGTTTTAAGGCGGATATAACACGAGAAAAACCTCGTCAAGGCGATGTACTAGGTATATTTTATGATTATGACATTTCACATTTTATAGGGCGATTTTTCTTACATCTATAGCAATCTAGGAAAGCAAAATTTTTTTGGAAATCATCATTGTACCTGTCTTTATACTACAAAGAATAAAAATGATAATATAGGCGAAGTAGGATGAAAAAAACATCGTGTACTTGACGACCTGAGGCAATCGCATAGGAATTAGAAAAATAAATAAAGTCTGAAGTAATTTAGAGTTATTGTAGTATCGTGTAAACATATTGTTGTTGGAGTGAAACATATTCTGAAGGTTATTCCGCAAGACCGCAACAATCGATACAAAAGAAACTAAATTAATAATCATATATAACAAGCATAATATGATATACTGCAGTATGCGTAATGTGTACATACTGCAGTTTGCGGCAAGCACGAGGAAGGCTAAATTCTCAACAGAAATGTGAAAAGTAAAATCTGTATAAAATATTAACATTAAGTACCTACCTATATTATTATATGAAAATAATTTTTTTTCACGATAATTTATTTATTATTGACATAGGTAGACTGAATTTAACGATCGGTCATATTGTAATAATAGTGGGTAACAATCGTCG